AGAATCCTAGGCAAAGTTGGTATTGAATGTCGAGAGTGTTGGTACAAAAAATGAAACCTAAGGGGTTGTACCCCACGGTGAGTACCCCACTAAAGCCTATCTAAACTACAACATATAAACATAAGCGCTGCTGGCGACACAACGGCTACCTCCGCTCAACCTCCCCCAGAACTGTCCCACCCCCCTTTCACACACCCCTTGCTGCACCCCTAGCTCCACTCCCACGTCACCCCCCTAGCACCACTTCCTCGGCTCCCACACACCCACCCCCCTCAGCGGCAGCTGCAGCAGTGGGAGACGAAGGTGGAGGAGGAGGAGGGGATGGTTCACACACCCGCCACCCCCATACCCGCCACCCCGCGGTTGCACCCACACCCGCCACCCCCATACCCCCACCCCACTGCTGCACCTGCAGCAGGGGAAGGAAGAAGAAGGGAGGGGGGGGGGGGGGGGTTTGGGGCGGGGGGGGGGGGGGGGGGCTGTGCATGGCGCGTGCAGAGGGCAGCAGGGCGCACACAGGGCAGCAGGGCAGCAGGGCGCGCAGGGCGCAGCAGGGCTGCAGGGCGCGCGGGGCGCCCAGGGCAGCAGCAAGGGCTGTAGCGGCAGCAGCAGGGCAGTAGGGCGCACAGGGCTGCAGGGCAGCAGGACAGCAGTGCGCATAGGGCGCGCAGGGCTGCAGGGCAGCACAGGGCTGCAGATCCCCTCCCCCCCACTGCACCTCCAAGCTCCCCCCCCTCCCAACACAGGGTGCGGCAGGGAGAGAGAGAGGAGAAAAGGGCGGAGAGGGGGGGGGGGGGGGGGGGGGGGGGGGGGGGGGGGGGGGGGTGATGCTGCAAATCCCCTCCCCCCACTGCTGATGCAGATCCCCTCCCCCCACTGCTGCACCCGCAGCAAGGGTGGAGGAGAAGGGGGGGGGGGGGCGGGGGGGGGGGCTGGTGCTGCAGGTCCCCTCCCCCCACTGCTGCATCCGCAGCAGGGGGATGGCAGATCCCTTCCCCCCCACTGCGGCACCCGCAGCAGGGGGAGGGAGAGGAGGAAAGGGCGGAGAGGAGGGGGGGGGGGGGGGGGGGGGAGGGGGCTGGTGCTGCAGGTCCCCTCCCCCCACTGCCGCATCCGCAGCAGGGGGATGGCAAATCCCCTCCCCCCCACTGCTGTACCCGCAGCAGGGGGAGGTAGGAGAAGGGTGGGGGACCTGGTGCTGCAGATCCCCTCCTGCCTCCCCCTGAACCTCCAAGCTTCCCCCCCCTCTCCCCGTCATCCCCATGGAGGGGGGGGGGGGGGGGGGGGGGGCTGGTGCCGCAGATCCCCTCCCCTCCCACTGCTGCACCCGCAGCAGGGGGGAGGTAGGAGAAGGGGCGGTGCAGGAGCCGCTCGGGCGACAGCAGGTTGGCCACACCCGCCACCCCCATACCCTCCCCCCCACTGCTGCACCCGCAGCAGAGAGATGGAGGAGAAGGGGGGGGGGCGGGGGGGGGGGGGGGGGGGGGGGGCAGGTGCTGCAGGTCCCCTCCCCCCCTCTGCTGCTCTCGCAGCAGGGGGAGGTAGGAGAAAGGTGGGGGACCTGGTGCTGCAGATCCCCTCCTGCCTCCCCCTGAACCTCCAAGTTTCCTCCCCCTCTCCCCGCCATCCCCATGGAGGGGGGGGAGGGGGGGGAGGGGGGCGGGGGCGGAGCTGCGCGTGCGACTGAAGGGCACGTGGGCAGGAGGAACCCCCTCTTGCCAACCCCTCACCCACCATGGCGCAACAGGGCACCGGGGCCGCGGTTAGGGGCGGCAGGTCGCGAGGGGCCATGGCTAGGGGCGACGGGGCCATGGCTAGGGGCGACGGGGCCGGGCGCTGGGCAGGTACGGGGCCGGGCGCTGGGCAGGAACGGGGCCGGGCGCTGGGCAGGTACGGGGCCGGCCGCTGGGCAGGTACGGGGCCAGGCGCTGAGCAGGGACTGGGCCGGGCGCTGGGCAGGTACGTGGCCGGGCGCTGGGCAGGAATGGGGCCAGGCGCTGGGCAGGGACTGGGCCGGGCGCTGGGCAGGTACGGGGCCAGGCGCTGGGCAGGTACTGGGCCGGTCGCTGGGCAGGTATGGGGCCGGGCGCTGGGCAGGTACGGGGCCTGGCGCTGGGCAGGTACGGGGCCGGGCGCTGGGCAGGTACGGGGCCGGGCGCTGGGCAGGTACGGGGCCGGGCGCTGGGCGCGGAATGGGGCCGGGCGCGGGGCTAGGTACGGGGCCGGGCGCGGGCAAGAGACGGGGCCGGGCGCTGGGCGAAGGACGGGGCCAGGCGCGGGCTTGGTACGGGCCGGGCGCGGGCTAGGTACGGGGCCAGGCGCGGGCGAGGTACGGGCCGGGCGCGGGGCTAGGAACGGGGCCGAGCGCGGGCTAGGTACGGGCCGGGCGCGAGGCTAGGTACGGGCCGGGCGACGGGCTAGGTACGGGCCGGGCGTCGGGCTAGGTACGGGCCGGGCGCGGGCAGGAGACGGGGCCGGGCGACGGGCTAGGTACGGGCCGGGCGACGGGCTAGGTACGGGCCGGGCGACGGGCTAGGTACGGGCCGGGCGACGGGCTAGGTACGGGCCGGGCGCGGGCAGGAGACGGGGCCGGGCGCGGGCTAGGTACGGGCCGGGCGACGGGCAAGGTACGGGCCGGGCGTTGGGCTAGGTATTGGCCGGGCGCGGTCGACGAAGTCGACGGGACCAGTGGGGGCCGAGGCGACGGGCTAGGTACGGGCCGGGTGCGGGCGACGAAATTGACGGGGCCAGCGGGGCCGAGGTGACGGGCTACGTACGGGTTGGGCGACGGGCTAGGTACGGGCCGGGCGACGGGCTAGGTACGGGCCGGGCGCGGGCGACGAAGTCGACGGGGCCAGCGGGGCCGAGGCGACGAGCTAGGTACGGGCCGGGCGACGGGCTAGGTACGGGCCGGGCGCGGGCGACGAAGTCGACGGGCTAGGTACGGGCAGTGCAGTAGGTGGTGGGCCCATTGAGATTAGGTCCTAAGACTTAATTGCTCTTAATACCATGTTAGAATCTTAGGTGAGAATGATTGACTAGGAAAAGGGAAGGGGTACAAGTAGAATGTCGAGAGAAACTTTGTACCCCCTAAAGCTAAACCCACTATAGCCTAGACAACTATAAACACATAAACTAAGCCTAGAGATAACTAGGCATATATGTTTGACATTTGACAGCCAGTTACTCCTGTAGTCCGGAGGTGCGCTTCCGGTAGCCACAGTGCGCGCCGCTCCTGTTGCCCGTGTGTCTGCAGCTTCAGCCGTTGCCTCCTCTCTCCTTTCCTATCAGTCCAGCTCCTCCTCCTCACTTGCCCTCTGTGATATCCTCTAGCTTTGCTTGTATTTGTGAACTATAAACTGCTACTTCTTGTACTTGTGCTCAGAATGTGTGGTGACTTTGTGATCCACCCTGAGCTTGTTTTGCTGTGCTTGTTGTGCTGATTACACCCCACTTTGGCTATGGGGGTGTGTCAGAATGTTATATTTGTCTAGCCTGCAGTGGGGTACTCAATAGTGAGTACAGCCCAACTTAGGGTTTGCTATATGTACTCAACTGCTTGCTAGTCCAAACCCTCTTTCTCGTTTCTCACTTTCAACTGCTGTTTCCGACAGATATGGCAGGGACCCGTCGAAGAATCCGAGGATTTGCGCGCCCTCCATCACCAGTTCAAACTCGAAGGACCAGGTATAAAAATCCTTCCCGTCGAAAAGCGTTGATGTTTGTAATTTGAGAACGTGTGCGAATTGCGATTGCACCTGAAGCGCGTCCAGTGTCTTCTCTTGTCCAGGTGAAGATTGCGGCTGTGGCGCGAAACTGACAGAGCCGCGTCGAGGCTCATACGGAGCAAAGGTAGGTTGTTGTTGATTTCCGCGCGCGTACGATGAACCATCAAGACTCATTGGTGTTGCTCTGTTGTTGTTGCCGTTGATTGATTGCGCAGGAGCTGCTTGCTTGTGTTGCTCGTAGAAGGACATGAAGGAGATTTTTTTTTCCATCATGTTTGAGTCGAAGCCTGCCGTTTGATTTCCGGGGATTTCCGTTGACTCTGCAGTTGGTCTTGTGCCTTCTTCTGTCTGTAGGCCGGAGACTGGAGGTGGAGTAGGGGTGGTGCCGAGAGATCCGTTGGAGGAGCTCCTCTCCTTTTGTGTAGCCATGACTTGTATTGTAAGAATTAAAAAGTGATCTTGTCCTGCCTTGCTCTCATACCATGTTGGGCTGAGAAAAGCCCTTAGGAACTTTCAGGACTAAGATCGGGTGTTGACGTAGAGATGTAATAGCGGAAGCGTTTAATGAAGAGTTGTCGTGAACCACCTTGTGCTAGTTTGTGAGAACAAGATAAGTTGATAATAGCAGAGAAGTACAAGGCTTTTATATGATTACAAAGGAATATTGAAAGTTCTATTTTAATTGTTTTTGCTGTTGCGGTTCGATACAGTGCCGACTCGGGTAACTGCTCTGTAACGAGTCAGTTGTGTATCCTTGCTGTCGCACTGTACGTTTCGTCAGGTCAAAGGTCGGAGACCTTTGACCTTCGCGCAACCTCTGACGGTTGCCTTGGTTGACTCGAGTGCTTCTTTGCTGTAGTCAGTTCCATTTTGTGTCAAACTTCGATACGACAGGAGCGTTATAAATCACTTGTTTCCAACACAATTGTCTGGTTTTCCTCAAAACAGAGTGCCCTGGTCTACACAAGGAGGATACCGGTCGGTACCTTTGAAAAGATGGGTGCACTTGCGATAATAACTGACAGGTGGTACTAGAGACAGACAGCACATTGGATGATCAGAGCAACCCGGCTCGCTCTGAAACACTCCCAACAAGTTGATATCTGATTCAAATCAGCAGGTGCTATGTAAGCCTCGGAAGTCAGATCGGTCTGAAAGCATCCCTTGGCGCCTTACATACTCAGAGGCCCACCCGCCTGTTCCTGGTGGTGCTTACCCATTTGAACAGCTTCCTTCCTACTGCTCACTGAAATCAAACTTCAAACCCCGGCCTTATGAGCGGCCGAAGTTGAGCCATCGACGAATTAGAGACCCTCGCGCACCCGCTTTGCTGCGGGACGGGCCTTCTGCTCTGCCTTGGTTCCCAGCCTCCGCTGCTGCTCCTCCTCCCTGTGGGTGAGACTGGGAAGCCAGAGTTGAGCTGGACTTGTGCTGCTGCTGTTGTTGAACCAAATCAGAACCTTGGTGCAGTGCTGCTGCCGATTTCCCCTGCTGCTCCCCCCGCGCGCTGCTGCTAATGGCTTCGTCGTCATCGTCCGTATCACTGCCTTGGTTCCCGTTCTCCCGCTCCCTATCCTCTGCGAGTGCCCAGAGGGCCGCGGCCTGCTGCACTCTGGAAAGAGGGAGCAAATCAAAAAGGGAGGGAGGGTGTCATGATCCTTCTTCTCACTCTCGCTTTCCTTGCTCTCGGTTCGCCGCTCAGTTTCCGCTCAACTCTCCTCTTTCTTCTGACTATCTTCCATTGACGGCGCTGTGTCTGCTGCCTGCCTCTATCACGACAACTGGTTGCATTTTGAAGACAAATCCCTAAAATGTTTTTCATGTGATAAAAAAAACAATCAGGAAAGATGCTGGGCGTTTTGATAGCTGTGGTATGCTGAGAGTAGCAGATGCTCGCATGCATGGACACAATATGCGCACATACATGCGCGCACGTGCACATTCAAATGCATGTGCACACACAAAAGCACACATACATACGCACGCAAATGGAGACACATAAGGACACAAAAAACGCACACGCCACATACAAATGCACATTGACATGCATGCACACCCATACACACAAACAAACACATACACGCACACCCAATCCCTCAAACCACCCCTTCCCCCTTTTGGAGAGCACCCAAGCACCTCCTCACCTCTCCCTCACGGCCTCCTCACCTCTCCCGCACGGCTTGTAGGTCCGAGTAGTCCAGCGACGCGCGTCTGCCCGACCCGGACATCGACTTGCGCGCCTTCGCCGGCACCGACAGATCGAACTCCGCCGTTTCCGCCGTTCGCGCCATCCCCCTGCCCCCCCCACGATTGCAATCTCCGCCGCCACCAACGCCTGTCCGCGCGGCTCTCCCGCCGGCAGGATCACGCGCGCCTGCCGCCACGGCACCCGTGGGAGATTTTTGCGCGGGGAGGGCGGAGGAGGACGGCGCAGCGGCGAGCGCAAAGCCTTCCGCAACAGAGAACAGCGCGGCTGGAGGCCGTAGTTCCGCTGATCCCGACCCGCCAGCAGAAGGACTCCTTAATGCCGCAGCACTGCTACCCTCGCCAGAGGCCGCAGCAGCGGCGGCGACAGCGGCGGACAGCGCAGCGGCGGCTGCTGCGGCGGCAGCGCCCCCCCCGCCAATCGCGATCCCCTTCCCCGCGGCTAGCCCCGCGGGTGTAACGGCGCTGCACGAGAACCGCCTGTCGGAGACGGCGGGTTGCAGAGACGCTGTAGACTCTCCCATTGACTCAACGGCACAATCATGCGCCGGCTTATCACAATTCTGATCTCCACTATCGACGCTTGCCGCAGCGGCGGCCATAAGAGAGCAGCCGCGCTTCGGCTTGGCGTAGTAGGGCGATGCTAACCAGTCGTCGGCATCGGCGGATGGGCCTTCTAATGGATTCATTAAAGGGCGCCGTACGTGACTGCTTGCCGCCGTCGACCGCCGATGTAACGGCCCTGAGGAATGCTAAGATCAGAAGGCGGTGCAACCAACAGAACGAAACGGGAAGCGGCGGGGTTCAACTTTGAAAGGATCATGGAAGGCAGCTAGCCCGAAGGAAGATAGACCTTCCAAGTTCCAGCTAAGGTGAAACAGTGCGGTTCTCAGTTCTACAGGGAGGAGTAAGGACCGAGGTACTGTACTGTAGGAGGGTAGAAGCCTTGGGTTGAGGTCCACAAAACCCAATCGCGGGACAGACGGACAATGCCGCCAATGCCATGCCATCACAAAAGGACTGTCCAGTGTCCAGATGGAAACCTGGAACTTGCTTTCCACCAATCTGAGTGCAGTGCAGTAATCAAGGAACACTAGCGTCCGCGATCGCTTCAGCTGCAGCATGGGATCCTGTGTGATGAAGATATTTTAGTGAGCATGTCAGACAGACATGGAGCACAGTGCGTAGCACAGAAGCTGTCCATAACAAAACCTACACTGAGTAATCGTCAAGAACATTTCCTGTTGAATATGCAGGCAACGAGCCTTGGCCTGTCAAACACACAACCACATTTGCTTAAGATTGGTACTAGATACGTACACGGAAAAAAAAACGACAACATTGAAATATACCAATTTTATGTGTTTCTCTAGTTTTATATCAATAATATGGAGGCAAAAATCTCATTATTCTTTATATTTCAATTTTGGAGCAATAAATAAATCATTGGTTGCAATATTTGAGTATAATGGTAGCAGATATGCCTACTTTCGTGGTACATTTCTCAAAATCAAATGCAATTTAGCACTGTAATTGGTAGGGTCTTGAGATAAAAATGGTTCTTTATAGATGTGATGTGATGTATTGAACGGATTGGGGTCGAGCACAAGATTTTTGTCTACGCCTTCTAAGATAGTAGTATTTCCCGCATTTCAGTGAGTTGTGGATCTTGAATAATTAATATACCATATTTTAAAAGAACATCCTAATTCAAAGGTCCATCAGTCCGTACTACTAGGCAAGTACCAATATCGTTCTTTCGTCAATACCCAAGCTTAGTACGGACACATGATGCCTAATCATACGCCCTATTTCATTTCGCATAAGAAATAGCACATAGTTATAGTCTCGTCCGACGATGCTTAAAAGTGATTCTAATTTGGAAACTTGACAATGTGTGGTTAAGACCCCACGAACTCGAGCCGGTAAATCTGACTAAAATCTTAAAATAATTGTTTGTTTTTGCAGATGCAAATACACTATAGAACACTGTTGCACTTAAGTCACATGGTACGATTTGTTTTGGCAGATGCAAATACCCTATAGAACATAGTACATCCGCAGTCATAACTGTGTCACATGGTCACACGGTAAGATGGGTGGATGTTTATAACAGCTTTCTGCGGATGGTGAAGCTGACGAGCACACGATTCACTCCCAAAAATACAGAGCGTATGTTGCGACTGTAACCGAAATATAGTGTAAAGAACCAACTAACTAGCCTAGCCTCTGGGGTCCAGAGTCTGTGATTTGGTTCCATTTTAGGGAGTCTCCATACCGTCCATTTAGTTTTACGGCAGCTTAACAAATCACTTCCGAGTCTCCAACTGGATAGCCCCCCCCCCCCCCGTCCGCTTCCCGTTTTCCAGGAGGTTGTCCTACACAGAAGGACAAACGTCTTTCAAGGTCTAGACTTATCTCCACCCACAACCACAAGAACATCAAAGTTCCCAAGCTCCAAGGAGCCGATGTGGTTTCAGTAGCCCGTCCGGCGCCTTACGAGTCATTCGTCCAACAGCTACACCGCACATAAGCCGATGATTTTGCCAAGTGGCAAAGCGACACTGGTGGTAAAGAGTCAGATGTGGTTTGGAGGTTCCGACCTAACCTAGACTGCTTGCCGTGAAACTCTGTTGGCATCGTTTCTGGCCCAAAAAGTCTGGGGTAATTTCCATATATTGATTCCGAAACAGATTACGGCGTGGCAAATTCTTCAGGTTCACCAGAGGCGTACTCGGGCGAACCAGCACAAGCCCGAAGTGTTAAGCAAATTCTATTGTGTGCCTAGATACATGAAAGCTATAAAACGTCGAACACAGACGTATATTTATTATTTTTTGCTAAAAGCTACGAAGGGTGTTTGATCCGTCATGGCTTAGGCAAAGCTTCCTCGAGCATATTAATACAGATTTTCAATACCAATCTACGTGTATTGCAAGCAATACATGTCAGAAAAATGAACAAGAATGATTGCATTGAACAGAGAGTTCAGTACAAATACCAACCCTGATTGGGTTGTACCCTTTATCGGCTACCCCGCTATAGCCTACACAAATGTAAGCACAATAACATTCTGACACACCCCCAGAGGCAAAGTGGGGGAGAACAAGTGGTCACAAGACCAGTCAAGAAAAGCAAAGCAAACTTAGAGTGGATCACAAAGTCACCACACAGTTCGAGCACAAGCAAAGACCCGCAAGGCCAGTTCACATGCAGAGTTATATAAAAGAGAACAAACAACACAGTGATCATACGCTAGCAAAAGTAAGCATGCAGGTATATATACAGATCACAATACAAGCAAAGTCACGTAGTGAGCAAGTGAGGCAAAGTAGGCACAAGGCCTAACACAGTAGAGAAGCGCTGATGATCACCAGGCGGAAGTGCCTTGGTGAATATATCAGCAGTGTTGGCCCTAGTGGCCACGTACGCAAGACGAAGCTGGCCACGCTGCTGCAACTCAAGAGCAAGGAAGTATCGCAAAGCGATGTGCTTCGTTCTGTGCTCCAGTCTGTGCTCCTGACACAAGGCAATCATGGCCTTGTTGTCTACATACAGAACTGGAGGCGAACGAGGCTGCTCTCCCAAGTCGGTCAGCAAGTAGGTGAGCCAGCGTAGCTCGTGTGCAGCCATGGCCCCGGCGTAGATCTTAGCCTCACAACTGGAGCCGAGAACTGAAGACGAGCGGGTAGACCGCCAGGAAACAGAGCCGGAACCGAGGCTGAAGGTGTAACCATGTGACGACCGCTGCGTAGCTGAGTCGTCAACCCAAGAAGCGTCTGCGTGACCAGTGAGGACAAATGGACTGTGAGAATGATAGACGAAAGAATGATGAATTAGGAAATGAGAAGGGTACAAGTAGGAAACACATAAGTGTTGTACCCTCTAAGGACTACCCCACTACAGCCTAGACCGACTATAGTAAATATATGTTTGACACACCCCCATAGGCAAAGTGGGGGAGAACAAGGGGTCACAAGACTAGTCAAGAAAGACAAAGCAAACTCAGGGTGGATCACAAAGTCACCACACAGTCTGAGCACAAACAAAGGGCCAGAAGGCCAGTTCACATGCAGAGTTATATAAAGGAAAGCAAACAATACAGTGAACACAACCTAGCAAGTGTAAGCATGCAGGTATAAGTATATAGAGTACAGTACAAGCAGAGTCAAGAAGTCAACAAGTGAGGCACAGTAGGTACAAGGCCTAACACAGTACAAAAAACGCTGATGATCACAAGGCTGAAGTGCCTTGGTGAAGACATCAGCAGTGTTGGCCTGAGAGGCCACGTAAGCAAGACGAAGCTGGCCACGCTGCTGCAACTCTCGAGCAAGGAAGTAGCGCAGAGCAATGTGCTTCGTTCTGTGCTCCAGTCTGTGCTCTTGATACAAGGCCAGCATGGCCTTGTTGTCGACGTACAGAACTGGAGGAGAACGAGGCGCCTCTCCCAAGTCGGTCAGCAGGTAGGTGAGCCAGCGAAGCTCCTGTGCAGCCATGGCCCCAGCGTAGATCTCAGCCTCACAACTGGAGCTGAGAACAGAAGAAGAGCGGGTAGACCGCCAGGAGACAGAACCGGAGCCAAGGCTGAAGGTGTAACCCTGTGACGACCGCTGCGTAGCCAAGTCGTCAACCCAGGAGGCGTCAGCGTGACCAGTGAGGACAACACGACAGAGGACGACAGAGGACGACACGAGCAAGGGGCAAACGCAGGAGTAGACCTGGACGCGGCAGCAAACACCTGACTAGACGCAGCTACCTGACTAGACGCAGAGACCGGAGGAGGCGCAGCAGTCAGTGTGTATAGACTCGATCCTGGCCTACGGGTGAACGTGGCCAGGTGGCGGCCCATCCGAGAGCAAGTGCAGTGGGTCACACGCTGACCTCCAGGGGCGAACTGGTCAACCCACGCATCCTGGAGGTCTTTTCCACTCACCAGGTTCGTAGAGAACGAGGGGAGGTGGAGTCCCGACAGCAAGCCCGATGGGGCCGCAGGACACGGTAGAACCGTGGAAGAGTGCGCAAGGACTGGGCCCCCAGAGGGGTCAGCAAGGGAGACTGCAACAGGCCGACTAAGCGGCGTGAGTGTGGTGCTGTCTCTAAAGAAAGAGCGCGAAGCACCAGAGTCAAGTGTGAAAGTGTGCAAGGCCTCAGTAGGTGCAGTACCAGAGAGAGCAGACTCACCAGCACCTGGAGCAGCAGACTCACCAGTACCTGGAGCAGCAGACGCACTAGCACCTAGAGCAGCAGCCGCAATGCCCGGGTCGGGCGGGACACTCAGGTAACAGTCACCCTCAGCACTATCAGTCAAAGCATACATGGCAGCAAGGATAGCATCGAAATCAAGATCAAAGATAGGCACATTCTGCATAAGCAGATCATGCCAGCGAGGGAGCTCAACAGCGTCAGGAAACTGGGCACGCCAGGCGTCAATCAAGCAACCGATGCAGCGAAGCGTAGTGTGTGGCAGCCCACACGCCTCCCCATGACGACTGCCGGTGCGAAGAACGTAAGTGCAGGGACCAGC